AATCTATCTCAATTCCCACATGTAGTATATTTTTCACTCTGAAGTGCTTGGCAATCATGAAAGTGCTAATAATATTAGAAACACCACTATGACTGTCGTCTTCGGCTCATCGTCACCCGAGTCAATGGATAACTTCTCGCGCAAATGTATATTTTTGTGCACCATCTCCACCCCCTTGGAGTACGATAAACGTGAGGGACATTAATTTTATGGGGAAATTTCAGACATAATATACGGGGGTTTGTAATTTTCAATTCCCTATTTCATCCGGGGTATATAATGGAGGGACACCGTATAAGGTCTTGCCAACTGCAGTGCCAGGTCTCGAACCCATGATCTTCGCATCTCCATTGAAGACCTTTCAAACCACTCGACCGCAACATTTTTCAGTATTGCATTATTGTGTTTATGTATTTTTTAAAAAACCGACCTATGCCTATACTGCAACATTTTTCAGTACTGCATTATTGTGTTATATATTTGAAGAAGAAAAAACGACAACGACTAATGTTTATAATATATACAAGTAATTCTTGCTAACAATTAAGAATGTTATGTAATAGAAGTAGGGGCGTCGATACTGTATGGGGGCACTTATCTCCTAAATTAAGATGTAGGAGACTAACAGCTCCTCATTTTGCAGTATTTTCCATACATAAATTACCCTTACTCCATCCATGCCTGGAAATTATATTGTTTTAATTATGCACGCGAATGAAAGAAAAAAACACACAAGGTTTTCCCTGACAGGGGGGAGGGGGGGGGGGGGGGGGTAGAGCTCGGGGATTTCCATTTTTCGACGACGTTTACTGCTATACAAAATACTTTTTATTGTTGATGTTATGGGATTCTAGCTCTAACCACACACACAATACAAAAAAAAATATCAAAGTTTCCTTTCGAGGAAAGGCTGACATTGAGCGAGATACATCGGAAGGTTATAAACAAGGAGAAATGAAACAAACATTATTATACCTCCGTTTTTGAAATCGAAAGTACACAAAGGCCGTGAAACATAATGCAAATATCACACTGTATTGAACCCTGTAATCATTGACACCTTGTTGTACAGAGACTGGAATAACCTCGTTAGTGAAGCGTGTTTATTAACTTCCAACATAGACAAGGATCCTAGGCTATAGATGTGCATCGGAAGTTCCGCTTTTGACAACAAAAGAATCGAAACAGGACACCTATACATGAACATGCACAATGTAAATAGAAACTAGCGACGAGGAAACCTGTATCAAGTTCACGTGACAGGAATTGATGCAGGATACAGTTGAGAAGAAAAAGTATGCACGCCACCGTTAAAGTTATATCACAATTATTATGCCTTCAGTATTAATATTGCCGTTTTTATGATTCATATTCACTTCTTTCCCTCTTTCTTTTTCATAGGGGAGGGAGGGGGTGAACATTAGACCGGAGAAAGGCCTAAAATAATTGCACAGTGCTTGACTTGACGCTTTCTCTTTGTATCCCGTTTATTACTTAAAAACTGTAGTCTTGGGGGGGGGGGGCAAAATAAGATTTCACTTTCACGAAGAGACGAAGATAGCGGTGGGCTATCGGATGGGGGGGGGGAGTGAGATGAGGTCAGATAAAGATGGGGTGAGTCACTGGAGGGGGAGAAAAGAGAGGGAGAGAGAGAGAGAAGAGAGAAGGAGAAAGAGAGAGAGAGAGAGAGAGAGAGAGAGAGAGAGAGAGAGATACAGATGCTTTGTTTTGTAAACAAAGTCGTATGCACTCGTTAAAAAAAAATGTTTCATGTGCCCCCGCATGTGCCACGTCTGTATATAATCATTCAACGTTTCTTATCAGGAATTGTAAATAGATTAGATGAAATGCTTTTATGTATAAGGACGTTGTATACACACAAAGTCATGACGTATAATCTTATTATGGATTATTTGCCCGCATTATTTCTATGAAAATGTGCATTCAGCCATGTCGCTTTGCATCGTTCAATGATTTTCGTGCATGAGCACTGGTTTTATTAACCGTCATCGGTTGTGATTACACAACCACGCAGGTCTGGCATAATATATCCAGTGCCGTTATTATATGCCGAAAAAAGAATACAAAACATGGCAATGATTGTTGTTCATTTAATTTTCCATCGTAGATATCGGCCCCTCCCCAATCTAATCTGCAAGCACAGACTCTAATTTGACACTCTACCACAGTTCAGCCGAGTTCTGGAAGTTTCTGTCCATGGTCTTGTCTTAGGAGGTCCATGGTTATAAACACAGAGCCTATATTGTAGTCTCATAGTGCAGACACTGTTACGCACACCAAATGACAAAGGGTTAGTGACTGCAAATCTAACCCCAATCCATTTGTAAAGCTCTCTTTTTCATTTTTATCACCGCAATCACACGGCGATGATGAATAATTTATAGGCCTCCATTCATCAATGAAGGCCGCTGGTAATGCAGGCTTTGTGTTGTGTTCTGCAAGCACAACAAAAAAAATGTAAACACGACGTGTTGTAGGCTTGTTTGGCACGGGCGCCAAACCGGCGGTGAATACACATTCCAGGGCCTGCTGTGTTACCATCATTCACGAACTAATTTGGGGTTTCATTTGTGAGATGTTACAAGATGTTATAAGACATAACTAATTTCATGAATAATAATTTTAACAAATGTTTCTCTTGAGGATTGCCCTACATAGCAACGATTAATAATATGCAAAGGTGGATTCCGTCTATACAGTGATAATGCATTTTTATAACAGGTGACTGAAATGATTCCTCTCTCTTTGTATACCTGTCTGTTCATGGACCTACTGCGAATGGTCTGTCCATCTCTCTCTCTCTCTCTCTCTCTCTCTCTCTCTCTCTCTCTCTCTCTCTCTCTCTCTCTCTCTCTCTCTCTTTCTCTCTCTCTCTCTCTCTCTCTCTTTCTCTCTCTCTCTCTCTCTCTCTCTCTCTCTCTCTCTCTCTCTCTCTCTCTCACACACACATCATGACATACAAAAGACAACAATATTATCTAACGAAACAAGGCAAGAAAAGAGGGTTAAAAAAGCCTTGGAAATGGCAGAATGTCATTCGCGTTTCCGTATCGCTATTAACACACTCACTGTTCCATGTAATAACATACAAACTCAATAAACAAGATAACCTTTCATGATGAGAACAAAAACATCAACACAACTAGCCATTCGAGAATATTCGAAGAAATAATAGATAGACCCCTCTAAGTTCCAGTTACGGAGAGAGAGAGAGAGAGAGAGAGAGAGAGAGAGAAGGGGTGGGGCTGTTGGCTCGCCGCCAAAGTTTTGAAACACAGACAAACATTTCGGTTTATCTCTAGCTCTTTTCATTGACGTTTTATCTTATTGCGATGAAAGTGAGGAATGTATTTGTTGCTTTTTATTTTTCGTTTGACTGTTTCCTTTCTTCTTTCACTAGAAGACGGGGTGCAGGAAAATGTACATGAAATAGGCTGCAAGTATGCACAGACGTACGTGCAGACGACATTTGCAATACGAGCACTCTGTGACATCATTTTATTCTGCGAAATTGGATTGTGTTGTAATTTTGCGGTCGCGAAAAACCTTCGTGAACTTTATGAATAACCATTATAAACTGGTTTCAGTTCAGCTATTTCAGAGCAGTTGGCCGTATGTTTATGGTGATGAGCTGGCAGGTTATTTCAAGGGGTTACTCCCATTCATCGATGAGTAATTGAAAAATATTGTATGGGCTTCATTGTTTGAAAAGGAAAACAAAAACAAATTAAAATCCACTTTGAAGTGTCATGTGATCACCTTCCGTACCGACATGATATCTAATCATGTGTTTAATCTTTAAAAACTGTATGACTACGAGTCTCCTTCAAAATTATGAATCAATAAAAGCTTGTATTCACACCCCCCCCCCCCCCTCTCTCTCTCTCTCTCTTTCTTCCCAGTATGAAAAAAATTGCTGCCCAAATGTTATCATCGCTTTATACCAACTTTAATACATTTAAATTTGATATGAATGTATGTTGTTGATGAAAAGAAATGTTCGTTTCAACTTCGACCTACATGTACTTGTATTTAATCATTAGTGTGTCCATCTCTATCAGGATATAAATTGCATTTATGTAACAATACTTGTTTGTTTTGGCTACCGTCCAAAAACGGCACGCTTGGTATAAACACGTACTAGCTTCATAACACGGAAATACAACCCCACCCAATACACATACCACTACCAGTGCCTATTGCAATTTGCTTTGTGCATGTGTACTGCGCTGCAAAGCCTTCGTACACTGTGTCAGGTCCGTAGACAGACAATGCACGCCCAGCGGGTGCATTGCAGTGCAGTGCAACACAGTCCGAGTTGAAATGTAAACATGCATGTTGTCGCAGTTGGCACTGCTGTACTGTACAAGTGGATGTGGGTACTATTTCCGTCAATGACATTTCGCAATGATCATTGTACATGTGTAATACTGTCTACAGGCCTACGTGTACAAGACTTATTAATTCTTCCTTATGCCATGCCTTTATGAATGGCTTATTGTATTTTCATATAGACTTTATAGTGTGTACATGGAGCATATGGTTGGTAAACAAAAAAGCATGGATCTGTAAAGGGAATTTTCACATCACATTTTGTTGTTGTTTTCAATTTTGCCTGGAAGAGATTATAATATAGCACATGTCCAAACCAAGACCTTTCCGTTTGTATAATATAATTTTAATTAAAGTAAATATGTTGGCCCATGCGGATTTATGCAGAAGAAGCAGGCCTATCTGCATCCAATTCAGAGAACTTAACAAGATCTGATAGTAATTATCATCTAATCTACATGCAGATTAGCAATATGTGATAATGTGACGTCTTTGTTTATTGGGCAAAGTCTGAAGTCTCAAGCCGACCACATAATTTAAAAACCATTGTTAAAAAAATAAAAAGTACATGTACATGTACGATGTATTATTACAATAAAGCTAAAAACAAAAATTTTCAAATACAAATAAAAACGAAGAGGCATATGTTCAATGTTTTCACGTGTCATGTTAACACTTTATTAACATATTTTGATGTGATAAAAACATATTGAAACAATCTTTTATATGGGAACAAAGTAGTACGAACACCAGTTATTCATAATAGTTTTCTCTGTCTTTTTACAATTACAATTTTACATTATTTTACACTTGCCATTATATCAAGGTACATGTAATAGGAATTAGGAAATAAAGTCCTGAACTCCTATAGTACAAAGCAAACCCTTCTCTACATCTCTGTTTAAACAATTGATGAGATTCTAGGTAATCTTTTGAAACTAAAAAAAACTAATTGCGATCTAAATTCGGAGCATGGCGTAACGGTCACCTTCCACAGTGCGCCCTAAGGGAGTGGACACTGACAGGCCTATGGTCATCTGTACCGTCCAGCAAGCTAAAGCGCAAAGTCCGACACCCAAGCCTATCTGTAAATAAGTCCTCCAGGTACATAATAAACGTACAAAATCCTATATTAATGCCTTACAAAGGTACAAAAAATACAAATCAAATACCCATCTGTATAATACAGTTTCAAACCAACATGTCTACAGGCTTGCCTTAGAAAAGACCATTTTCAACTTCCAAGAGTACATGTGCATGCGTAGCCAACATCATGCGACTGTACATGTGAATCAATATGAGACTCAACTCTCGTAATGTTGCAGTAAATGTGATTAGTAGATACTTTCCCACCTAAAAAACCAAGCTAACTACAGATCGTATATTACCACATCCAGAAAAAAAATTGCACTACTTGCTAATAAAGAATACCTAGCCTATCTCTTCATCTCCTCCAAGAGTATATCCGCACACAAAGGGCCGTCTATCTTTTACTTGCATATAACATCACCATTATTAAAAGACTAAAGATGAGATAGATGGCTTACACAGTATAAATTACATGTTAATTAAACAGCAGTATACCTTTTTCATTAACCATACCAATCATGTGAGAGTTTATCTGGACTGAAGTATTTTGTACAGAAATAAGTAGAAACTAAACAATTCATTAAAAATATCCATTCTTTTGTTAATTTAACAAAAGAAATTAAGGCTGTCAGCTTATCTACATGCACATGTCACATTTTTATCTTGATTGTAAAGCAGGCGGTCATAGAAAATCGTACAAGACCGATTAAAACTTGTTTAAAATAAAATGTTTGTTTATTAGAAAACCTCCCAAGCCCAAGCCCTTTCATTCATACATGTACAGTATGCAAAAAGCAGTTTTAAAAAAATTGTGGTGAATTTTGAAGATTACTCATTTAATTCATGTAAAATTAAGATTGATAGAGAAAATCTTGCCCAACAATATGCCCAACAAAAGTAAGATTTTCAAAAAAGTCCTAAAAGATTAAAATTGACATTAAAATATGTTATTTAGGATGCATTTAATATGTAAATAATGTTGACACAGCATCCATCAAAATTGATATGAAACATATTTAACATAAACATGTTTGTGCATATCTTGCGCGAAAATAACATGCTTTGGTAAAATTTGGTCACAAAATATAATCTAATTTGTAGTTCACGTCATTGCTTCTGTATTTAAACTAACCCTAGTACAATTATTACTTCAAGTAATGGTGAACAAAAATTCAAAAAGGATGTTTAAAAAAAAGTTGCATACATGTGCTGTGCAGTTTAGCCCAATTCATGTACACTTGAATATCCCCATCATTCATTTGAGGAGGGGGCAGAAATCAAAAGACAATCATAAATATGCATCCAATGTCAACATTATACATGACTTTGTCCGATTAAGCGCATGTAGAAATAAAATTATGCATCGGTAAATCATCTTTCCGGGAAATTCTCAGAAGTACTGGCGCTTCAGCACGCAGTTACTTCGTGCAATATCAATTCCCTTCAATAAGATGTGCGTGTTGATGTCGGACAAATGAAATAATATTGATTAATGTCACAAATAACATTTACTGAATGATCGAGGGCGATTCACAAGGGGTATGCACATGTACCTACATTGTACACGTACAGTTTTGACAGCACACACAACCATTTGCATATCACAAATGTCAACATAAAATAAACAAACAACATAAATACATACATTGTACATGTGAGTAAGATACACAGCATTTGTAACCATATCAATGAGTTGTGACTGATAATGTACAATGTACATGTTCAAACGTGCATGTGTGCTACAACGTGTAGTATCTTCAGTTCTTCACTATGCATAACAATAAAAAATCAAAATCTACAAATAGTACCTCTTATTTTTCTTTCAAATTAACAGACAGGTAAAATCATGTAACAAACTAAATCTATCAAGTATCAATACAGGGTCCTTAGATTGAATTGAATGGGAAAAAATGAAATAAAATCACAACTAAAATGTTGACTGATCATAAAACCAAATTAAAAAGGGACAATGTGCATGTTTTTAGAATCGTTAAAAACATATCTCTGGACTTAGAAAAACCCATGATGAAAATCTACCTGCTTTCTCCCTACATGTACACAGTATTTTTTCCATCTCTCTCATGAACAGCGATTTGGATATTTTGCAGATGCTTAATGATGCCCATTAGTTAAAAATGAACAATATAAAGTGTTTCCTCACCAGAGTACACTGTATATAGTTTCCTGGACTTGAACATGCAATCTAAATCGAACATCACATGTTCATATGTAACTTGATCTTTCATTGGAAATGTTTAACGTAATAGTTTAACGTCCTGTTTACAAGATAAACTGTTCAATGAATTAAACGAAAAAAATGTACATTAGATGGACCTACTGAATTGTGAAATCATGAAGATATTCATGAACATGTATTTCCACGTACATGTGTAACAAAAAGTGTAAAAATGATGTATTAAATTAATACTTTTTTTATCTTCAAATGAGCTAATAACTAAAAAAACACCAGAATTGCATAAATAATGTTAAGTTAAAAACCAGGTAAATTCAGAAAATCAATTATTTTTTTTCTTCTTTTCTAATCTGCATTTTTTGCCAAAAAACGTAGCATCATCATCACCCATCTGTGGAACATTAAACTTCAAACATCACGAGCTGCTATGACAATAGGGTTCTCAATGAAATGATCTTAACTGCTTCCTGAGTGAGTATTCACAGAATCTACATACTGACACAAACACATTGTACATCTATACAGGTGTATCCTCCTCAACCTTACATCACAACCTTGGTCATTTTCAAGCAATTAAAGCATCTTTTTATCGACAATGTCAATTTCGTGTTACAATCTATTACCATGCCCTTCCTTCGTGCACTACCTCTTACATGTAACTATATCCTGAATGATCACTCTCTTGGTCTTAGTCACATACAATAGGAAGTGGATACAAGTTATATATAACTCCATTTGTCCCATTATACAATTTACCTTGCAGGAATCTCTCCTGTGATGTCAACATGAGAAGTCTGAAGCCCTAGCAAAATGACAGATGATTCGATCACTCGATGTGCATCTTCACAAAGTTGTTAACATTTAGTTGCTAAGCTAATATCAGCTGCAAAATAAGTTCCATGCGAGACACATGAATCCCTGCTCTGTTTCCATGGCGATAATGACTACTCTCCCCCATTACAGTCGGTCGGTCACAATGCGTCCAACGCCTCATCAAGTGCCGCAGTCCTTAGTTACATAATCCACCTTCTCTCGAGTTCTCACATTATTGTTTGTGCTGCGTTTTTTTCGAGCAGTCCTACAATTGTGGCTCAAATCCTGAATGCCACTTTAAATCGTTGTAGGGCGATTCACCTCTGTGGCTCGACTTCCATCGACTGCTTGCTGTTGGGCCGGGCAAAGCAGCTAGGCTGCAGTTGTACAGTTTGAATGGGAGATGTGGCCATTGCCATGGGTGAGGCACCGAGGCATTTGTCTGTAGGGGTCGCCCCCATTCTCGAAAAGCTGGTGAGAATGTCTGGAAAGTTTGGCGGCGTTGCAGGTGTGTTCGCAGGAGCATGTATCTGTGAATTAATTCAAACAAGTTTCCAATTTAATGAAAAAGAGCTAGTAATTACGAGGCAAAATAGAGGACTTGAATTTTAAGACATTTCAGTTTCAACATCAAGTACAAAGTGTCAGCAACTAAACGTACATGTGCATACAGTATGCATAATTCCTGGATACAAGGATTACATGTATGTAGCCTGTTACAGGAAAACATACTACCGTACACAGATCAAACTAAATAAAACAAGTTGTCTTAATCTCTTGTTAATATTTTGTAAGGGACAGTGGACATGCAAATGGGGCATTTTACTCACATATTACAGTTGTACTACAAACTTTTACAAAGATTCTCACAGCCTCCTTCTTAATTTTTTCGGAGGAAAATCATCTACTCACCGAATGTCCCCCTTGTCTGTAGTACTGATGGTTATTAGCAGGAATTGCTGCTTCTTGGAAGAACACACTGAGGGCAGTCTGAAAAGAAGAAAGCAAGCATATTTGCTTAGTTTTTTTTCCAGTCTCATCAGCACTTTTCATAAGGCACTATATTTGAACATGTTCATGTAGATATTGGCATTTTATACAAATTCCCAGATTACACTGAATAAAAAGAGAACAGATTTGGACAATGCAAACTCTGCACTATGTAAAAGCACGAGTCACAAGTTTAATATACATGTACTAATATAACAAGGGAGAAGAGAGCGAGACTTACTTGCCCTTGTAAACAGATTTGTGATTTTGAGACCTACAAGTACAAGTCCTTTGTTTTGTAACTTTATTCAATGTAAGTAAATAAAGTAAGCACAGAGAAATCATTCTCTTTCACTGTGTCTGTGCATTGAACCTGGACCAATGGGCCTAGTTTCTTTCCAATTGTTAAGACTCTTCCTCAACTTTTTACATTTCCAGGCAGACAATATAAATGATAACCATCATTGCAAAATTGAACCTTTCTTAATCCTTTATACTGTAAGGTGAACCATACAAAAAATAGCAAAACTCTATAGGGTCTATATAGAGATTAGGCCTAGAGGTCTACTTATACCCTTTTCACATCTACCAAATATTGCTTAACCCCGGGAAATAGGTGGGGCTAAGGGGGCTCTTAGCCCCACCAATTCCTTCCTTAGCCCCACCAATTACCCGGGGTAATTTTAGCCGGCTTTCTGTTCACATTACGTTTTGCCAAAGTGGGCTAACCCCACAAATAGTACGGGACTATCTGGCCCTGCAAAATAGCAGGGTTAGCCGGGCAATTGCGGGGTTAGCCGGGCAATTGTGGTGCTAAGCTGCGTAGTGTGAATCCGAACCGGGCTAAGGAGAAGCGGGGCTAAGCAACAGCCAATCACAGACAGCGTGGTCGTGTGGTCGTGAATTTGCATTTATCGCGCGCTATGCATGCAGTTCACGTTACGCATGCATGCAGTTCACGTTACGCATGCATGCTCTCTGTAGTATGCGTCGAGATCGAGATCGTTTACTACGTAGGCCTAGAACTACTTCCAATTCCGATCGATCGGAATTGAATTTATATTTATATTGAATTTAGCGCGCGGGTTTTTCCCCTTCATTTAGTCGAAAGGCGCATGCGCGGTAGCAAAAGCATTAATATTCATGAGCTATCGAATAGTCCTGGGCTAAGGCGAACGTAGTGTGAATCGCGTGAAATTTCTTAACCCCGGCTAAGCACATAGTCCGGGGTTAAGAAAATAGATGTGAACAGCAAAAAAAATAGTATGGGGTTAAGGATAGTATGGGGTTAAGGATAGTCCGGGGTTAAGAAAAATAGATGTGAAAAGGGTATAAGTTTAAGTCATGAACATTTTTAAACATGTAATAAAAAATAAGCAGAATTTCAGGAGGTCAATGGCATTCGGGTTGACACTAAATTTGAGCCCTGAAATTTTGAAAACTCATAAGATCATAATCATTTATATATATATAGATCTACATGTACAAATCAATGCTTAAAAATTGAATCAAAAGTCAAAACACATGAGATTGAGAAATACAATTACAAGTCTAGACTTACACATGTAGGCCAAGAAGAAGAACAAAAAAAAGGTTGATAACAGATTGGAAACAAAGTGGAGCTATAAAACTACTTCAATCTTTTAAGCCCCAGTCCCATATAAAGCCTGACCAGCACGGACGAGCACGGACCACTCCGGACCATCCCGGACCATGGTCTGGGGTGATCCGGGATGGTCCGGGATGTTTTGTTCAAAAAAGTGTGATGCTTTAAAAGCTACAGTCCCATATACGTCCCGGACCGTCCCGGACCATCCCGGACCCCATCCGGGGTGATCCGGGATTCGGTCCGTGTTGACACCGTGTTGGCACCGGGGTGGTCCTGGATGGTCCTGGATGGTCCTGGATGGTCCTGGATGGTCAATAACTCACTCCCGGACTGCCACGGATCAACACGGACCGCCCCGGCGCCACTACGGATGACCCCGGACCCAGCACGGTGGCTACACGGATCACCCCGGATCAAACTATTGTCCCGGACCGTCCCGGACCACCCCGGCAGTTTTTGACCGTCAAAAACATCCGGGGTCGACTCCCGGACCGCCCAGGACCATCCAGGACCATCCAGGACCATCCAGGACCATCCAGGACCACCCCGGTGCCAACACGGTGTCAACACGGACCGAATCCCGGATCACCCCGGATGGGGTCCGGGATGGTCCGGGACGGTCCGGGACGTATATGGGACTGTAGCTTAAGCACTTTGCTTTGGATATTCACATTTTTGTTGATATTGCGATTTGTGGATCTAGATTTACAGTCCAGCAAAAGTTAAGAGTTTTTAGACCTTAATTATTTATAGATTCATCATCTGAGCCGATTACATACAGGGAGCCAGACATGACAAACCAGGCCAGGTCAGGAATATAAAACAAATGGATTCATAACAATGATAAGCAGAGCCTCAGAGTCAGATAAGGAAGAGTCAAACTACATGTTGCAGAAATAGAGTTCTTTCAAAAACAACTGAACTCATTTCATTCTCAATTCTCCCATTCTCACACTCATTCACTCACTTTTAGTTTTACTAGATTCTAGACCTAGTTTTACTCCTAACTCTTGGGAATGTGAAGAGCTCAAACAAAATAAAAGAAGTCTTAATAGATTTCTAGACTGTGTTCTTGATTAATGAAAACTTGAAAACCCTATTTTTTATCCCCAACTAGTTTTGAGCATCGAGCAACTGGCACTGTCTTCCACTAGCATGCCGCGGAAAGGTTTGGCAAGTACACATCACACAATCTAGCCTACATCATCATCAGCGCAGCCACAACACAATAACACACGTAGACTATATACCGCTCTGCCAGGCCATGTTGTGTTGATGGTTTTTACACGAGACGACCGCATGCAGACATATCCATGTAAACACAACAGCAGACCGTTGCGCAGATAAATTTTAGAAATGATAAAATTACCTCAAATTGCCAATGTGTCTTCTGCAAAATTTGCCTGGCTTGATCAGGATTACATCCCGCTGCTGACACAAACTGGCTTATCATGATTTGTTCCTTCAAAAGAGCTTCCATTTTGGACAGATTTCGTACAGCAAATTCCACCCGTAATCCTGAGTTTACACCGAATCCTGGACAACAGTTTAAAACAGCATACACCTTCGACGCGTAGAAAATCCGAGTACAATGCCTTTGCATGCAAAACAGCGATGTGTTGGCCACCATTCGTCTACATACAACCCGCGCTGTTATGTGGTCGATCGCTGGGCCATAGGTTTATTGACAAATGACGTCATAAGTGGGTCGACGAATACCTCCGCTTGATTGGTCGTTATATGTGTACAATCGGAATTGTCCATTATTCGAGAGGGGTGATTGGTTATGAACAATAATAGAATACGTGGAATCCCGTGAATTGAATCATCACAACATCGCGACACGTTGTCAACAAACGATTCATCAACAAACGCTCATTTGCATAATAATTTCCGAAAATCTCGCAAGCAGTAATTATTCATTGATTCTTTTTCTATGGAAATTAACCGACCTCGTACAACATCCTGATTACAGCAGCGATATCATGAATAAAAGATTAAAGCAAAAAACAAAAACAAAACAAAATCGTACATAGGGTCTATAAATTAGTAATACTAAAAGTAATAGCCTACCCGTAATCACTATACTTGCATATGGTTTTAACCATAATGCAAAAATACTTTCGAATTAGGTCTGCCCATATTATATTGCTGTATAACTATTATTATCATTAGCAATATTACTGTTGTTGAAATTATTGTCATTTTCACTCTTATTATTATTATCATTCATATTAATATTATTGTTATTATTATTATCATGATAGCATCATCATTATTATGATCTTTACCATTATCATTATTATCGTTATTACTGGCTCTATTAATTTAATGAGTAAAAGTTTTATTTCAAATATTTCATAGTTCTTCCAACTGAAAACTTGAGAGTCTATTATCTAGATCTATTAGATCTATTAGCAGTCAGAAAACACACAATGGCAAATGATTATTCAATACAATCTGAGAATGTATACTTTTATCTAGATCTATTATTTTTAAATTATTTTCAAAATAGTTCCATAAATTGGGGTAAAACAAAAATATTCCAACTATCATTGAGCGACAGTGTATGTCCCACTTAAAGGCCAAACAAATAAAAGGTTAAATTTCAACCGCATTTGATAGACACAAAGGGATAGACAATACTAATTTCGAATGTCCATTAAAACGTAAGGGCTTGAAACGGTCTTTGAGTATGTCCTATTTGCAGCCAACATCAAATTCTGTAGAACTTTGCAGGAATTATGAACATGTCACGTATGTCCTATTTGTGAAATTTAAACGTTAAGCCCCAGTCCCATATAAAGCCGGACCAGCACGGACGAGCACGGACCACTCCGGACCATCCCGGACCATGGTCTGGGGTGATCCGGGATGGTCCGGGATGTTTTGTTAAAAAAAAAGTGTGATGCTAAAAGCTACAGTCCCATATACGTCCCGGACCGTCCCGGACCATCCCGGACCCCATCCGGGGTGATCCGGGATTCGGTCCGTGTTGACACCGTGTTGGCACCGGGGTGGTCCTGGATGGTCCTGGATGGTCCTGGGCGGTCAATAACTCACTCCCGGACTGCCACGGATCAACACGGACCGCCCCGGCGCCACTACGGATGACCCCGGACCCAGCACGGTGGCTACACGGATCACCCCGGATCAAACTATTGTCCCGGACCGTCCCGGACCACCCCGGCAGTTTTTGACCGTCAAAAACATCCGGGGTCGACTCCCGGACCGCCCAGGACCATCCAGGACCATCCAGGACCATCCAGGACCATCCAGGACCATCCAGGACCATCCAGGACCACCCCGGTGCCAACACGGTGTCAACACGGACCGAATCCCGGATCACCCCGGATGGGGTCCGGGATGGTCCGGGACGGTCCGGGACGTATATGGGACTGTAGCTTAAAGCCCCAGTCCCATATAAAGCCGGACCAGCACGGACGAGCACGGACCACTCCGGACCATCCCGGACCATGGTCTGGGGTGATCCGGGATGGTCCGGGATGTTTTGTTCAAAAAAAGTGTGATGCGCTACAGTCCCATATATGTCCCGGACCGTCCCGGACCATCCCGGACCCCGATCCGGGGTGATCCGGGATTCGGTCCGTGTTGACACCGTGTTGGCACCGGGGTGGTCCTGGATGGTCCTGGGTGGTCCTGGATGGTCCTGGATGGTCCTGGGCGGTCAATAACTCACTCCCGGACTGCCACGGATCAACACGGACCGCCCCGGCGCCACTACGGATGACCCCGGACCCAGCACGGTGGCTACACGGATCACCCCGGATCAAACTATTGTCCCGGACCGTCCCGGACCACCCCGGCAGTTTTTGACCGTCAAAAACATCCGGGGTCGACTCCCGGACCGCCCAGGACCATCCAGGACCATCCAGGACCATCCAGGACCACCCCGGTGCCAACACGGTGTCAACACGGACCGAATCCCGGATCACCCCGGATGGGGTCCGGGATGGTCCGGGACGGTCCGGGACGTATATGGGACTGTAGCTTAAAAGCATCATACTTTTTTGAACAAAACCCCGGACCATCCCGGATCACCCCAGACCATGGTCCGGGATGGTCCGGAGTGGTCCGTGCTCGTCCGTGCTGGTCCGGCTTTATATGGGACTGGGGCTTTAGCAGTGTCCTAATAACCAATGGAAACCCGTTCACTTTCTAGTTCACTGTGTGACTGACTTTTTTTTTCTTTGGTAATAACATACATAAAATGAGCTGTCATCGAAAAGGGTACATGAGCATTTGTCTACATCAATAACACAATTCTTGTAATTGCCAAAATTAAACTGACTGAATCTTTGCACAGCACAAAAGGTACGACCATTCGGTTCAAGGGTCTGAAAATCGAACTATTACTTTAGTGATTGCACTCACTAAAGTCGATTCGACAACCAATGGTCTTTACTTTCCCACTTAACAATTTAAATTTGTTGGAAAACTAAAAATATCCAATAAAAATAGATTCAGAGACTTATTATATCCGCTTTAACGTGTCACTTTTGGAGAATTTCGAGAAAGTATATAATAATGGTTCCAACTCTACATTATTGCACAGAAATTGAGTCATGATGGTAACGCAGCCCGCAAAGTAAAGTCCTATTGTCAACTTTTTGAGAATGAGGCGAGGATTGGCTTGATCATGGTGCCCCCTTCCCGTCCCACCCACCCCACCCCCTCTCCTCCTCCTTCTCCTCCTCTCTCAGGTTTTTCTTCCCCCTCCCTCCTCCCCTCTCTCTTCCCCCCTCCCCACTCTCTCTCTCTCTCTCTCTCTCTCTCTCTCTCTCTCTCTCTTTTTCTCTCTCTCTCTCTTCTCTCTCTCTCTCTCTCTCTCTCTCTCTCTCTCTCTCTCTCTCTCTCTCTCTCTCTCTCTCTCTCTCTCTCTTAAACGAATTGAGTGGGCCCACATTCAAAGACTGAAAAGACAACCTCGATGTTCCTCCAAAATATCAAAGGTGGGATAGAATATTTGCTTCCGGATCGTTAAGAGAATTTGATCAACTTGACATCATAATCAGAATTGGTTAAAAGTTTTAAAAAGCTACAGGATTACACCCCCAAAAATATGATATGAAAAAGAAATAAAGTAATAGTGTGTTGGCTTTTAGAATGCTAGTTCCCATTTTCTTGGCACATGTCTTTTTTTTTCTTATAGGCCTATATAGGCTTTCAATCCGAAATGATCCAATTCCTAATTTTCTGAAGAGCATCATATCAGTAAAAAGTGTAGGCCTATTTTCTGAAATCGATTAAAACCAACAGGGTTTCACTTTGTAATATTATGTGTAAATTTTTGAAGTTTATGATAGGTCTAACGCACGCCAGGTAGGCCCTACCGTAATAACATAAGTTGAATATCGGCTTACTTACATATGGGCCTAAAATAATAATAATAATAATAACAATGATAATAATAATGATAATAATAATAATAGTAAGGTGCCAAATCAACTTAAAATCAAATGCTCAAGGCCAGGCGCACTTCTTGAAAAAAGAAATCACATAAAAGCATCTGCATTATAAACAAAAGAACAATTAATGTTATGCCGAATCAAACAAATATGTATATATAAATATACATTAGACATATATACATATATTGATTAAAATAATTGAAATACGAATCCCTGAGAGTGTACGTTTTAATATACGTTTCAAAATTGTAATTATATATGGAAGTAGAAAAAAAAGAAGAAGATGCACACGGTTTTGTAGCCGCTGTGTAAGATGTTGCCTTCTACCCCCCCCCCCCTTCTTTTTTAAAAGTAAGAATAACAAGTTCTTCCGTTTCGGTGTAACGTATTATTTAGGGCCACAGAAATCACAACAAAGGTGTGTTTGCCGATATGTTTGGGGATGTCACATAATGGCACAATAACTTTTGCAATCAGCTGGCTGAGGTTAAAGGTCACGTCGACGCCATTTTGACTGAACAAGGATATGTGATACGGATGTTTCTGTGTTTTTTCCTCATCAAATAACACTTTCTGATTGCTGATCGTCTCCATTAAGTGTACATCAAAATGGGTAGTTTGCAGAGTATGCAAAATTCGAATGTCCAACAAGTGGAAATTGCAGCAAACTCTGCGTATAGATTTCCGCCCAAGTCAGGTTCGTATTCAGTTTGTCGTGTTCGGTCCCACTCGTACGATTTAATGTAGTCTACTCCATTTTGTGACGACATGAAGTTTTGTTTTCGACAGCGACAGTCACATTGGTCATTGCAAATAAATCATACAGCATTACTGCATTACCATACTTTATGTTCAGGAAAAACCCTTTCAGGGTTAGACTTTATGCATTTTAGAAGTGGTTGTAACTGGTGTGGTGTATCTTCCTGTCACGAATGTGCAGATTTTTTGGAGTGAATTTTTCTGCATTCAGCTCAGTTTTGTCAAGTGGTGTTGAACTTGAACTTTTGAAGTTTGAACTTTGTAAATTGAGAGTTTTTATAATAAATAGATGGTGTCTTCATTTTTTTTTAAATGACACACAAAGTCTGGTAATGCCGTTATGATGAAATGTGCTGTCAAGTTTTAGAGTAAAGCTGGTGTTTTTTTAATGCATTGCATAATCATTGTACATGTAAATGGCACAACAGCATACATTTTGTAGCTATGACTGTGAGTGTGATTTGTTCATTAGCCTCATATTTGGGTATGGTGGGCTCCTCTCTTTAGAGACAGAAGCCGACAATAGGGTCTGCTCTGCAAACTTTGGACTAAAAATAAAATGTCATTTTAGCCAATTCATATCCGATGCATTTATTCTTGAAAATTAGGCCTAGCCCTAGGCTAATATACATCATTTCCTCTTACCAGATTGACTGTATGATGCATGTAACTGTAAGGGTCTTTTTTTGCAAATTTTCTTCATCGAAATTGAACGCCGTGTTGAAATTCTTGAAGCCATCTTTTAAACTTACTTTCAATGGACGACGTCATCTTCCTTGATGCGCAGTAACAGTTTAAAATATGGCTGCAAGAATTTCAACCCGGACTTCAATTTCGAAGAAGAATATCCAGAAAAAAGATTGTTCAAAATCCAAACACTTATAAGTCTACATTTCAACCCATTGCACACAGAGTAAAAGTCAGCCATCATATCCAGATCTTATAGTGATATTCTGGTAACAATCTAAAACAGTTGGATTCCATTGCGTAAATGCGGTTTCACATATTCTGTTTACAGGATGTTACTTTGGAAGCCATTTCAGTATGGGAGGGCAGAGGTTCGAAACACCACAGCCTGAAGCTTATCTGTTTGGAGAAAATGCTGACGTCAATTATCTCAACTCAAGACCCGCACCGGTAAGTTCATTCTAAACCTAGATGGGGAAACTTAAATACTGATAAGCATTTTTTTAACGCTAAAAAAAAATAAAATAAAAATAAATTAACGCTATCTCTTCATACATGCAGTTTAGTGACTTACAGTGTACATTGGATTGTTCGATTTTATATCCCTTATCATAAGATTGTTGCATTAGGAGTGTACACAAAAAGAAAAAGAATAGTTTTACTTGAAAAGACGTTTTCTGCCAAATACTGGCGGTGGTTCATTTTGATGTCACCAATAGTTCACCTGTACTATTGATGTTCCTGAGTGCAAATAGTTTTAGCTTTTTCCGAGAATGAGTTATCATACATGCCAACTGTTCAGATTAAAGAGGAACATTCCTCTTTTTGGGAGAAGATAATTATCATTTTAATGCAGGTGTTCCTCTTCCTGTACAAATTTGTCTGTAGTATTGAATAGGAGAGTTAGGATTGTTCCTCTTTTTTTTGAAAATAGCATAATTTGTACAGATTTCTGATTTTCAAATGTTGGCATGTATGAGTTATTGTATATTTGTATAATATTTTATCAATAATCATGAATAGAATTTGAACATGATTGGCAAAAGTATTATTTAAAACCATATATTTACATGTCCAAAGTGCCAAACTCCAGACATATTTTCAACTTGGTAGTAAACTTGGTGAAGCATAGTATTTAAATGCCTTAGAGAACTTGTCCAAGTGCACTTGAAGGTTCTTGGTCAAATGAAAGCTACCGTATTCACTATATTCACACACACACACACAAGTCTCTCAGAAAAGTTATTATTTGAAAGCCACTTGATGATAAATTTGTACCAGCACTAAAGCTCTTACAGAACATTAATTCACTCTGTTCATTAAATTTGTAACTGCATTAAATTTGATAGAAATTATCCATGTTTATTTCCACTTTCAAATATGCAGAAAGCACTTTCCTATGTTTATGTGTCTCATTATCCAGTGAAATTATTTCTCTATTTCTCCTCTATTACACAGTTTCCCTATCCTGCTCCCCAACCCAACGAGCCCACCAAGACACTGAAGAGTCTTGTCAATATCAGAAAGGATTCACTTAAACTCGTCAAAGCTATCAGGTAAATCAATTGAAGAATTATCTTCATTATTGTGATTGTCTCTATTCGTATTTGTCTGAAATAGTGTGTACCATTGTGCACCAGTAGTTCAACGTGGTTGATATACCATGAAAGAAAAGAGGTCATGGTTTGAATTAAATTTGAAATGAATGAAATAATTGACATGTTACCATGGATTCATAGATTTATATTTGAATATTCCTTGCATTTTGTGTTCTCCATTTTTATCATATCGTTTATCTAAATTTATAAGTTCCTCATAAGTTTCTACATGTAGTTGGTCAAAAATGTTATAAACTCTATTTCTACTTCTGATCTTGAATTGGTTTCTTATTTACAAATTATATGTTTAGTTAATATTGAATATCTTTACCATTAGTGTTTTATTCTATTTATGAATCCAGCTGGTTAGATGAGGAATTTTGATCTATTTTTCACCTATTCTGAATATGTAGTTGATGACATTGAAGAAAGAAAAGGGGAAAAAAAAGAAAACAAGGGAAAAACAAAAAAAAGTTGAGAATCCTTTCATGTTGAAGAAGAGAAATATAAGCGCCTAACCAATGTCTTTCAATCTTGCTTTCATCACCTTCAAGCAGTACGACAGACGAGGAATCTGAATCTCCCTCTACCCGATACTCCATAGAGTTCATTTTTGACAGTGAGGCGAAGACAGCCATCACTTTCTACTTCTTTGCTACAGAGGAGATCACCGGAGGAAAGGCAGTGTGAGTAGACCCATGGTTTGCCATTAAGTTTTATAATCATGAATCCAGTTTGTTAAATCAGGAATCTTAATCTACTTCTACTATATTCTGAATATGTAGTTAATGTCATTGAATAGACAAAACAGAAAATTGGGACTGGATAAATTATCTTGTTAATATAATGAGAGTTTTTACAGTGTTCTTTATGGTATTAGGTTCTAATATTTAAAAAGAAAATCCATAGTACACACTTTGCTTTTATGATCCCATTTCTGTTTTGTTCTTACATGTACCTATGCATACATACATTTATGTGTATTTTGTGTTATAAAACTATTCAAGAAGAAAAAAACAAGTTTTCTTTGGAAGTAATTGACAAATTTGGTTTAGGTTGTGAGTTTATTTCGTCATCAATGTGGGTAACATTTGAATGCATGTTCCTCATGCAGGGACATTCCTATTTATACCATTGAAATTTGCCTCAGCTTGATCAGGTTCGATTAGACAATAAAAGTATGACATGTAAGCCAGGGTAATAATAAGGAGCGCAAGGAGGGTCAAATCTGACTGACATGAGCGCTATACGAGAACCCACTATTATTATTATTATTATTATGTCTTTCCTGCACAAGATAATTGAACTTTGACCCCATTGTTCATTCATACCTTTTGACAGTTACACAGCAAAGAATGCCTCGTTGAGGTCAGAGACCTTTAGGTATGAGAGAGGAGCAAACCAGACATTCGCTCAGCCAGCCTTCACCTTTGACCCTTCCGACTTCGATGATGGAGAGGTAAGAATGAGCCAGTTCATAGTTGCAGTCTGAGCATGAGCAGATAAAGGTCATTGCAGACCAAATTGTAAAAATACAGAGATGCAAAATACTGGATACATGCTCATGAAAGTTATGTTTTCATTATTCATTTATGCACAAACAGTGCACTCCCTCCATGGTACACAGGTAGAAGTATTCTTTGAAAAACTAAGGCTATTTATGTAGCACATCCATCGCAGTAGGAGTGATTATTTCAAAATGTATAAAGTGGGACCTCTTCATGTTTTGAAGATCCATGGATATCTGGGGTCATTGGGACATGTGCTAACTGTGAACTGGTCTATTGAATACATCTTTGACAATATAGAATTGAGAGAAATTTTTGGCTGGAGCAAATGTTAGAGCTCTGAAAAAAAATTCACTTGGGAATGCAATTTGATTATTTGAATGCACTCTTTACATCTTCAATATTTGATTTTGAGGGAATTATTAATGATACAGTTAAACCTGTCTATAATAAAGACCACACAAGGGAGACAAGACGGTAGTCTTTATAGGCAGGTGGTCTTTATGTACTGGTTCCTTTAGTACATGTTTCAATGAGAAACCATTTTCAAGGGAAACAAAAAAATGTGGTCTTTGTAGACAGGTGGTCTTTCTATACAGGTTGTCATTGAAGTAGGTTTGACTGTACTTTGAAGCTCACAAATGGTCTCTCAAAAATGTTTGCTGAGACAGTTGCTGACCTGACATGCAATTATCGCCACAGACATTAACGTTCATCGATTCTTTTCTTTTTTGTAGTTCACCTATGACCCTTTGAAGGATGTGATTCCCATCGTCATACAGTGTACTGTGGACGAAGGAGATGGTAAGATGACGGTCGTACCTGTTACAAAATCTCACAATTTTTTTCATCCTTATCTTCTCTATAAGATGTCATTAATGGTCTTCCATGAAGCCATATAAAACAGACTTTTTAACGCAAACAATTGAATTTTGTTTTGTTTGAGATCATCAGTAACATTGGAAAGAGACGAGCAAGGCTGAAGAAAACTTATACTGCAATTTCTTTTTTTATTTCTTTTACTTTGATAATAAGTCAGAATTTGTTACGCAAATCTATTTTGTTATAAAGAAACTTATAGAGACTTTCCAGATTTTGGTGTCATTCCCCCTCTTTGTCTGTCCGTCCATGAGCTGGTAATACTACATCATCACACACTGTCTGTGTGGTCCTTTTATAGGACTACGTACCCCTCCCTTATGTTATGTAAAATCAAGATGATCATTGTTGTTTGTAACACTCATGCATGTATGAGCATTATGTAAGCACTATACTTTCCTGCACTTTCAATTTTGTTGCATAATATACTCAGTCAGTCATGCCCATGCCAAATGTACATATCAGGGGGGCGTTTCACCAAACTTGTCATCAATGACAAATGACAGCTTTTGTTATAAGCTACTGATATCCTTGCTTCTAATTGGTTATCAGCATATTTGTCACTGATTTTTGTCATTTGTCATTGAAAAGAGGCTTTGTGAAACCCCCCCCCCCCCAGGTTTAGAAAGCGTAGTCCCAAACACTATGTCATTCCTAAATTTTTTAAAGTGATTGTTACTACCACAGATATGCTCTAATGATTTTAATTTTTATATTTCATGATCTAGAGAATATTCAGACCAATTTTATGTGAAGAATATTTGTTGTAGGTATATCAGTGGCTATTTTTCTTTATTTTTGTTATATTTGTGTTAGAGGGGGGGGGGGGGGGAGGGGGTTAGCTACCACTAGTCTACCCCCTCACTTGATCATCTGTTATCACAATGATAATAATGATGATAATAATAGAAGGTCGCATTTCTAATGCACCTTTAGAATATGGTACTGTGCACCGTGATGTAAGAAGTGTACATGTTTAAACATATTTGTGACTTACGTCCAGTAAATACAGATCTATTGATCGTTCTGTAATTGAAAACAAGTCGGAACAATTCTTGAAATCAGAAGTGTACATGTCATACATGTAAAGGAAGAACATTCTGAATATCTGGTGAATGACGGAACAACTTTTTCTTTGAAAATTGAATTTCCAGAGCACTCTGGCCATTGCCACACCCTGATTGCGACCTTTGAGCAGTCAGCTGACGGCGCCTACACCATGAAACCAATGAAGCAGAAACAGATGGTAGAGGGTGTCTTCTACCTTCTACAGGAGATCTACGGCATTGAGAACAAGAATAACCCAGATGCTCCAAAGGTTAGTTCTGATAGGTTACATTATCTTGTCTTATCTTGTCTTATTATGTCAGTTTCCTGTCCTTTGTGTCCCGTTTTTTCATTCTGTTCTTTTGTATATTTCAATTATTTAAATACTTTAAAACGGTTTATGGAAATATGTTATTATATTATATCTATTTTACTGTGATTATTAAGACAATATAAAATGATTTATGAAAATAATGTTCATATTATATTTATTATTGGGAACTTACAAAAACAAGCTACCGGTATGCTTTCCAGTAGGTTCCTGTTTTATTTCATAATTTTGAACTTACTTTGTAAACTATGTTCTTTATTGTGCAAACAATTGTTATATGAATTGAAATAAAATTGATCAATCAATCAATTTTAAGATGGATTTATAGGACATTTACAAAAAGAAAAAGAAGAATGAATGCTGGGTTATTTATGTGGTCTTACTACTGGGAAGAGACAGAGGGGGGAGGGGGTGGGATGGGGAGAAATTAACATCTTGGATAAATAGAACATGATTTTTTTTTTAGGGGAAGGGGATGGACAGGTGTTGTAAACACAATGCATATGAAAAGAAAGAGGGAAAAGGATGGAAAAGTATGAAGGAGGTAGCCCCCCAAAAAGGGATGCACTGGGGGGAGGGGGCACGATTGAGTTTTTCATAGTCTAATTGTTCCAATTACAAACAAGATAATAAATCATCATGTACTTCATTATGTAATTCAAAATCATCCTTTCATGATTCCTCTCCATCTCTTGTTCCATCATCACCATAGCAACCTGATGAGGAGGAGTTTCCTGATGATGATGACAATGGTTCTGACTGTGTCATCTGTATGTCTGATGCTAGGGATACTCTCATCCTCCCCTGTAGGCATCTCTGCCTCTGCAATGGGTGTGGTGAGTATGACTAGCAACGGTTGTAGGGTTATGAAAGTACTCTATGCACAGTGTATTTTGTAAGGTGTTGACAACAGCGTTTCCCCAAATTCGATGTTTAAAATTTTCTTTCTTTTCTCTTTATTGTGATTGTGATTTTTTGTTGTTGACAAAACAAATTCTATAGTATGACTTAACACTTAAGATGAATTCATGTTTTTATGTTTTTGCCGTCTTCTGTTCTTTTAACATGCAAATGTTATCTTTTGATTGTTACAGCTGACTCTCTGAGGTTTCAGGCGAGCTGTTGTCCGATTTGCAGAGCTCGTAAGTCTTCCATATTTTTTTCTTTCTTTGAAATATTTCTCCATGAGACAAATTTACCATCCTACGTAATACGGTTGTTTATGAAAAAAAAAAAATTTAAAGGATATTTCTATTTGTCATTTGTCATTTATAGGAATGATGAAGGATATACTGTCATGCCAGGATTTTATTTGAATCTACTTTTTGACGTTATTTCATTCATTTTTGAATTTATTTTCATTTCTTCTTCTCATCCAAACCAGCTTTCAGAGCCCTGCTTCAGATCCGTGCTCTCAGAAAAGTGATGGGCAACCCAGCACCAGTAGACGATGAAGAATCATCGGTAAGTCTTGATGTTATGTTATGTTTTGCGTAATCCAGTGTTAGGAAGGATCATATTAGGCATGTCCAAGATATTTGGTCATTTCATCATTATATATCATATACATTACAAAGTATTGTTGAGTAGTGAACGTAATCAACGCGGAACGTATCATTCCACTTCATAATTGGTTTGGTCTAAACTCTAGTAAGGCTAGTAACTTATTACAGTGGTTGGATAAGCCTTGAAGGATATCAAAGATAAAAATATTGTATTAACCTTATTTTGTCATAAAATGAACTCTTAGCTCTATCCCTTCAATTTAGACTTTCTTTCTCTGTTGTTCCATAAATTAGTTAAAAGAAGATACTCCCAGGTTATGAAGTTATACCCCCTTAGTAAAGAATTAGTTCTCTCAAAAAATTGCAATACTCTCCAAGTACCAAGAACTGAGTTTTCCAATCACAAAGTGCATGTACTCCAAACTTACGATGGTTCAGACAGGAACAAAGGCAGGTTCATTTGGTACTAATTAGCATTCTTTCTTATTTTCTCTATTGTTCTACAGATGAGTCAACAGAATTTATCCCATGATATAAAGCTACCTCCCTTTGTGAAGAAATAATTCATTGAATAGATTTGATGAATTTATTAATTCGACTAGTACTCCCAAAGAACTTTATATATATATATATATCAAATGAGACAATGAGCATATTCAGAGTTATCATTATTTAGAGTATCAGGTACATAAAGCAGTCATTTCTTATTGTCTCTATTGTTCCCTAGATGAGTCAAGAGAATGTACCACCAGGATATGAAGCCATCCCCCTCGGTGAAGCCCTCAATGGACCAGGCAAGAGTGTACAAGGAGCAGAGGGTGAGAACAATAAACACTTGATTTCAAATGGTACTATTGGAGTCACCGAGGCCCATAGTAATAACCAGTACCTCAAACTGAAGGCAGGGTATATTTGTTTTATATCCTACATCAAAACAACAACAACAAACAACAAAATTGTATTGATTTTTATATTTTTTTAAACTCCCAAATAGTACTTCTACTCTCAAATAGTACTCCCGAATAGTACTTTTTCAGAGCAATCTTAAAATGGTTGAAATATTTCTGGTCACGTGAAGAGCTGTCAACCAATCAAAAACCAATACATTTTTTATTCAGGATATAATACACATTATCCTTGAGTCACCCTTAAGAAGATCAAGATGGGATAGTGGCTCAATTTTAACCCTCCTCAGAATGGGATGAATTCTAATTTTATTGCATTGAGAGTAATATTTCAATTTTTTTATAATAGTGATTATGTTTTTGTGCAATGTCCTTTTCAAATACGTACCAAATTCCCTTGCAATCAATATTTTTAATTTTTATTGTGTTTTTCTATGATATAGGTGGAGCTACAGGTGGAGGAGAGACATTATCTCGATCAGGAACATCGGAAGGAAGGCGAAAAAAGAAGTAAGACTATTTATCCCGGGATATGTTCTTTTGCTAAACAAGTGTAACTCCTGCTGTGAAATAAAATAAAAACACTCAGATAACATGAAATTTGCTCATGATTTTAAATACATTGTAAGATGTATTTTCATGCATACAGAGATGTATATATAAATATAGTTGTTTTGTTTATAAGTGAGTTAGAAATGTTAGCACCATCTGGATTACAGACCTGAAACATACATGTTGTCGGATACGTTTTGTTGTAATACATCTAGGTTAGTTTGAGATATCAAAAAGGAATCATTATTTTGAGGGTTCAGTGACACAAAGACTTAACTCCGTATTTTGCCAAAATGAATATTTGATATCAAAATGTTCAGAAAAATGTGGGTTTTCCAGGAACCACAAAGACTTAACTCCACCCAACACCCCATCAAAGTCAATGGCTAGTGAAACATAGAAAAGGCCCAAGTGCTCAGTGACACATAACCACTTTTTCTCAAAATGGCCAAAATGGAGTTACGTCTTTGTGTCACTGACCCCTTGATTTGAACTTTGCCCCGAGCAGGAAGAGCCGCACCAACTCCCTGGCCTCGCTGAGGAGCCGTGGGGCCGCCACACCCGCTGCGGCCGTCGACCAGGCCAACTCCTACCAGGAGGTCAACGAGAAGAACGAGATGATGAGGGTGGACGTCAGGGGGGACGGGAAGAAGAAGACGACAGACGAGAAGCAGGAGGAAGAAATCCCCGTCATCAACAGCGGCAACATGCTGACACCTCAGAAGACTGCAGCTCCTGTATCCATTGAAAACCTGGTAAGATTACTTGGATGCTGCATCTTTAAAGCCCCACTGTACTACTTGTAACTACTTGCGCCCTCTATATAGCAAACAATACCTAATCGGTGCCTGTTGGTCCCCATGATCCCCTTTTTCTTATGTTAATTGAAAGCTGATTTGATGAGATAACTACCTGTCAGTGACCTTGCAGGGAGGTCTAATCCCCCTGGCCAAACTAGTACAGATAGGCTTTAAAAATGAAAGGCTCGTTGTCCAGTTTCATGAAACCTGCTATTAATAACGAGTTACGATGACTGTAATAAGCTACTGAAATCGTGGCATTTGATCGGCTGAGAGCAAATTTGTCACTGAAATTTAGCATTTGTTTTTGATATCAAGGTTTGTGCAACAGGGCCCTGACAGGGCACAATGTGGAGATGGCTAAAGCAAAATTAAAATCATGTCAACAACTTAAAAACTGCTTCTCTCACAACATGTGGATGCACCTTTTTATATTATTATAAATCATTCTTTATATTTGCACATTGTTTTACTTTGTGCCTCGTGATATGTGAAGGCCTTAGTTTCTGTTCTTGAGAGCCGCAAATCTACTAACAATGATAACACCTATTATTATCTAAATTCATTACACTCTTATGTGATACAGTTTTCTTTTTGATAATGTCCTTTATATTGATGTAAACGCAATATGCTCCACACTTTTATACCTTATAACACGCATACAATAGGTATGAGTAGAGTAGACCTTTGCTGCGTGCAACTCCAGTTTTTCCTTCTTCATCTCCAGTTCCCCATCGGTCATTCATATACCGGTACACAAGAATAAAAGTATCGTTTCTGCATCATGTGAGAATGTGCAATCCAATCCAATCCAAAAGATATTTGATATAGCGCCTTTTCCTTGCGGTAACAAGCGCTGCACACACACCGCTCCACAATATTTGGGCCACTTAAAAACAAAAGTTAGTCACATACATGTAAGTTTGATGTAGTTGATGATCCGTGAGTAATCTGACCACTTACAGGGTGCAGCCGCCCTGGCGCTCAACGGAGGTACAGCCAAAACCATGGTAGTGACCCTTCCCCCGGAGCCAGAGATGAACCTTGATGACCGCAGCCCCGTTGAGGTCCTCACTCTTGAATCGGAACCAAAGCCTGGCTCATATCACTTGGACCATGAGGGTAAGTGTGTAGTACATCTAAGATAGAAATTTTTAAGCAGTGTTAGGAAGCTTTTGGTGTCACCTGTGCCTTGGAGGAGAAAAGCAAACTAAATCACTGTAACTTAATTGTGTAGGGCGGGAGCGTCTTACTCTTACCGGACAGATCCATATGCCTGTTGCCCTTCAAAGCTTCAATACCCTTTTAACAATAACAAGGAAACTCTCCAAACATTTTGCACCTTGAACACTTTGTTTACTTTGTATTTAAGGGCTGTTAGTTTACCCCCCCCTCTCTCTCTCTCTCTTTCTCTCTCTCTCTCTCTCTCTCACTCTCTTTAAATTGGCAGCTAGGATCAAGGGTACTTAAAGTAAGCTTTCCATTTTGACGCAATGGTAGATAAAACATGGCTGTCCTCATTATTTCCCAGCAAATTTCCTTTTTAACATCTTAAGGATTGGAATCCTCTTGTCATTACAGAAGTAGCAATGGACAACATGGAACCCTCTGCCAACAACTCCATGTTCCTTGATGGCAACTCCAAATCCCCCGATGCCGTCTCACACGGTCCGTCCTTGCTGGGCGTCGACATAGACCTACCGGGAACCCCGACCAGCGACTCCTTCACCGCCCCAGGCACCCCCTTGGATGTCAGTAGTTCACTCAGTTCCAGCAGTCAGAGACAGATGCCCTCAATGCCCTCAACCCCAAGCAACATCCAGCTGGAGGAGGCTGCAAGTAAGGACCCCATCGTTTAAGTGACCCCTTGTTGGTGACCCCAGATGACCCATCATTGACCCTAGGTGACCCTAGATGACCCTTTCAAGATTGCCACATGTCTGGTAATGGGATTTTGTAATTTGGCTCAGGGTTTGGACCCAATCGTTTAAGTGCCCCCTTGTTGGTGACCCCAGATGACCCATCATTGACCCTAGGTGACCTTAGATGACCTTTTCTACCACAAGACGGCCACATGTCTGGTAACGGGATTTAGTAATTTTGGTCGTGGTTTGGACACTCAAGCAACAAGCTTTCATCCAGTACGAGGCAAGAAGTTATGTTCAGAGATTGGGTACGGGCCAGTAGGTCACGATCTAGGATTGCAAGTGGGGACACAAACAAATTAAGTCACCCCGACTCCAAAGTGGTTTTATTGAGAGCCGTACGCTATAAACTGTATCTTTGGACTGTGATACATGCTATTGATTATATTGGTCCTGGAAGCCAGGTAGCGGTGTCAAAATATACCCGCAGGAAAATGATTCCCCTTGTCCTGACATGTATGTACCTATCTCTCATGAGAAACGGGTGTTAGGTATATATCCTAAAGTATAGCATTAACAATTGTAAGGATGTGGACGATACATATATTATTATGTCCATTTATTGTAATTCTCAAGTAGAAAATCAACCTGGGCTTCATAAAGAGCAACTCTTACTGCACCAAGATGAGGAACCACTAAGACTGCCCAAAAAACATATATGTACTTTAAAAAAAAAAATCTTGGGGCAAGTTTGCCCTGCCCATTTCTTCTGTTCAATTGATACTCTACATTTATATTTCACTTTTTGTTACACTACTTATTCTCATTTCTTGACTTTAATGCATGAGCTTGAGCACCAGATCTGTAACGTTGATATTCAATAATCAAACGCTGAACAGGATATATACCAAGTCATGATTAGATATTTCTATTTCATCATTGTCATGTTGCATGGTAGTCTTAGGAGAGAGTATTGTAACTTGTAACCGATAACTGTGAATGAAGGATGTTATATCCGCAATGAACTGCTTTGACTTACATACATCTCTTGCTTGGAGTCAATTATTATTTTGAAGGCAAAAGACCACACAGATGAACATGATTATAGATAGCCCTACCTTATAACTTTATATATTTGGTACAATTGAGTATTCTCTACAGTTATTCACTTATAAATATTCATTTAGCTCAGCCCACTCAAAATTCTAAATCCTCTTTTTGTCCTGTCTAAACAAGCTATAAACTCCTCAGATATCGATCATGTTTCATTCCTATTTATCCAACTCCTAGTTCTCCCAATTATCTTCCAGAACATAGATTTATATTTCAATTATATGTAAATGTGCAATTCAATGTTTTGAATGTACCCACCAGAAAGTTATAGATATGTAGATAAAATCACAGTATCCATATACTCGAGCTTTAATTTCTACTTGTATACTAAGATGCTACTTTCTGTATTTATATTGTTAAACATGTATGACTTTAAAGTTTTGTGAAGTGATGTCCTGGGACCCGTTTCACAAAGTCTTGTTTCAATGACAAATAACAGAAATGAGTGACAAATCTGCTAATAACCAATCAGAAGCAAGGATTTCAGTAGCTTATAACAACATTTGTCATTTATCCCTGATGACAAGTTTTGTGAAACGGGGCCCTGGTGTATGTAGAAGCTACTAGAAGAATGATTATTCCATTGTGTACGGAACCGTGAGGATCCAGTATAAAGCCTTTGGGAAAGAGAGAATCTAGTCGACGGCTTAATTATTCAACTCTATATTACTCAGCAATTTGTATTTCAAGTTAATATTAATGTTAGTATCCTAATGAAAGAAGTTATTGTTTGAGATACACTGTATATTGATCCATCCAAAATCACGTTTTAATTTTTAATGCGTTTTGAGGAATTAAATTTGAGCTTAGACTGTGGATGCGATAAGTTTTAGATGAATAGATCAACTGCCTGAATTGTTTTCTTCCATCTGTATCAGGATGAACCAATTAAAAGATGAAACCATCACCACTTTGTATGGAGATATAAATTCAAATAATAAAATGGATATGTTAAACTTAATTAATATTATGTCAAGAGGTAATCCAGATATTCCTAGATACTAACCTAAAATGAACATATATATATATATATATATATATCACAATTAATTGTTGCATTTTGATACATGTATGTATTTTTGAATCCATGGAAAGTTTTGTCCGATATTTCTCTTATGCTCTATTTACATTTTTCTTCTTTGTGCCCTTGCCATATGGAGAATGCAGCAAAGCCATACAAATCTTATCTCTTATCAATTCTAAAGAAACAAAAATATTCACCATAGTTATTCTAAAACAGGTGTGTACCTATACTTAAAGGCAAAACAGATCAAATGTTATTTGTAATCGTGTAAGATAATTAGCAATTATATTTTTATATCATTTACACATAAGGGACAGTTGTTTTTATCTCCTGTATTTCCATTTATGTTGTAGGTTACTTCTGAGAAAATTCATATATTATATGTAGGTAGCACTATGTACATGTACATACCAATATTGTAAATGTATCTGATCTTGTACATATTGATCATTAAAGAATAAACTTGTAATTATCACACCAAGTAAGCTTCAGATATACTTTTTGTTCAAGCATTGCTTTCTTCTTTTTTAGAAGGGGGGGGGGGGTCACTGTTCATTACTGTAAGGCATGCTGGAATGTTGGTCAGAATTGATGTTTCAGAATTTCTCTTAGAACATGTTATTTAAAGAATTTGAATGGTTGAATCTTTGGGGGAATTTCCTACTCTATATCACGACTTGGAAGTGGACTTGTTATTTGCAAAAAAATACATATTTGTGACATTTATGAAATATGAAATTTTTATCATTTATTTTAGATGAATTGTACCTTCTGTTCCCTTTTAATTGGTGGCATAAGAGACAATTCTTGGATATAATGTAGATATGACGAATGGGTGTGGTATTTGGTCTAAACCACAGTATATATTTACATGTTTCTAAAACCAGTGTACAGTGTAAATTCATACATTTAAATCAGAACAAAATCATGCAAGCCATGTCACATACAAGTTCATATCACCCTTTCTCATCATCTGGAAAGGAACATGCTAATGAACAAAAAAACGGCAAATAGAGAGTGAAATTTTGTTTTCTTAAAAAAGACCTTTATTTCCACCGTGCAGACAAGGCAAATGGATGCTTAACTTTACAATATTGATCTTTAAAGAGTTGATTAAAACAAATCTCATTTATAACACCATCTGAAAAATAATTTTCAGGGTGAACATGCATGAACGTTTATACTGTCTAACAACACAGCTACAGTTAAACGTTTGAAGAATATAAAATTTAACAAACAAAAAGGAAAAGTCAGAATACAGGGAATGCAATGATTAGTCGTTTCATACATAAGAATGCCGTACAGAATGCCGTACAGAATGCCACAAGTTGAGGTTTACAATAAGACTATGTTTTTAGCAAGGACATTTTGCAAATAGGCTACATATTGGTCATTTTTATAAAGGAACTATTTAACATTTTGGCATGGTCATAGTTGTGCAAGTAGTTGAATTGTTTATCAATTAACATAGAATGCAAGACAAAACATCAACAGTTTTAAGGAAAATGGTAAATGTTTAGTTAGCAACCCATCCTGGAAATCGGAAGAAAAAAATGAAGAATAAGTTTTTTTTTGGTCGGGTAGAAGTCAGGGAATTTCAGTAAAATCTCTTTAAACAAGAAAAAAATAAGCGAATTTCATTTGCCCTCACTATGAACATGACAGACAAAGAAAGCGGACAAAATATACAGTTCCTCAGGTAGACAAAGGAACATCCCTTCACTGCTATTATGTAAAAAAGGTGAATATGCATGTGACACCTGTTCTACACATTTTTACATAATAGCAGTGAAGGGATGTTCCTTTGTCTACCACAGCAATTGTTGAGGGTAGAATGAGGAACTGTATATTTTGTCCGCTTTCTTTGTCCGTCATATTCATAGTGCCTGTAGATGTATTCAATGTAGTCAATGCTCCTCATATATAAATATATAATATCATATGTGTGTGCAGGTGTTTTGTTTCCAAACTGTGTGTCCAATGGATGATTGACATGCTTTTGCCTGCAACTACTGTTCATTGCAGACGTATCAAATTGAAATAGGTTGAAATCATGATCTCTGAATTTTTAAACATCGGGGAATGTAAGGGAATTTGTTGTCATTCAATTCTGGGAATTCTGAGTACGGAAGAAGGAATACATGTGCATTTCTTAAGATAATAACTAGAATTCTATTTGTACCACTGTAAAAATTATCCTAAAATCATTATCATTATCATAACAAATGAATTGCATGCAATTGTTGCTACCCATATAATCGTGCTTCTTCCATGTACCTCTCCAACTAAGTTTTGTTTTTGTTTACAAAAGTGAAAAATAATTCAGACATGATTTATACTAACCTTTTGTGAGGGAGAGTGAATGGCTTCTTAGGAAAACAACATATTTTGTAACAAAACCCTACAAACAAGTCGTCTACGTCACCGTACAAGTGATAAACATATTTATACAGCTTCATACATAATCCTACAAAACTCCTTGATCCTAAATAAGTAATGGGAGCACTGATATATTTCTGTTCCTTGCACAATCATATAAAAAATACATGTATGATAGCTTTGAATATGTACAATGTTACCCTTAAAGGAATGTACAATGAACAGTTTCTTAACACACACATACAATAAATGAATTTTTAAAAATATTAAAGGCATGTGTTATTCAAGATCAAAATCTGAAAAATGCAATTACATCAAAAGAAAACAAAAAAGTTATCTGCAAAACCAATATTTCATAAATGTACCTATTAAACTAGAATGCTGTTTCTACCAGAAAGCATAAATCATGAACAATTCATTAGGATATTACTAAAAATCAAATGAATTTTTATATTAAACAAACCAGGAATTCTAATTTTAACAAATCCAAAGCATGAAATCTCTCTTCTTTAAAAAAAACCAAATGCTTATACTGCTCTAAAGTGCTTTACAAAACAATTCCATGCAAGCAAGAAAGTACTAGCTTCATAGGAAATCATGCAAAAATATTATGTAGCCGTTTATTTTTCCCTGAAGTACATTTCAATAAAGCTTCATGTTGCCATTAAATGAGTTGAATAATAGAAAATATTACCATGAAAATTGAAAGAGCATTTATGAAATAATTCTTATTCCTACAAATGATGCAGACCCTATTATGAGATAACAAACAAAATTCTGCATCTTTTTTTACAAAAATTTGGTAAAAAAAGACTCTTCAAACTTTTGTTTCTATTCATTCCAATTGCTATTCTTCAGCCTAGCCCGTTATACGATACCAAACATTACAAAGTAATACCTGAAGCTTTTTTAATACAGGACAGCGACATGGAACACCTTACATCAAAAGCAAAACATGTCTTAGTGATTGGTATACTTTAAAGCCCCACTGCACTACTTATAGGTACTTGCGCCCTCTATATAGCAAACGATGCCTAATCGGTGCCTGTTGGTCACCCATGATCCCCTTTTTCTTAATATGTAAATTGAGAGCTGATTTTATGAGATAACCACCTGTCCAGTGAGCTTGCAGGGTGGACTAATCCCTCCTGTATACTAGTGCAGATGGGCTTTAATACTTTGAGCTATACATGTTTAAACATTCTTTATATCACAACATGGAATTTACACATTCATAGAATGTATACCAGTATGTACATCTATCATATAGTAGAGGCTACTATGAAATCCCGTGAGATAATCGTGCCAAAATTGTTTTTTTTGGCTAACTTTGTCAATTTCGGGGTGCTGAATCTAAAAAAATTTGGTACCATTTTTTTCGACCACGTCTTGGGCAGCCATTTTGAATTTCAAAATGGCCACCATAAATAGTTGCATTTTGAGCATTATTTCATATTATAGACATCATAGAAGGTTCAAATTTCGGATAAAAAGCATGGCATTGATGTCTGATATAGTAATACAAATTTCCATGAAATTGTGCTTTGTTCCGGATAAGCCGCCATTTTGAATTTCAAAATGGCCGCCATTGTTAAGCCTATTTCAACTTGAATATCAAGTTAGAAGTGCATGGAAAGGTTAAAACTTGTTATAGTATCATCATTATGATGATATACATGCTTTAAAAGGAAATACATGCTTCGTTTAATGATGACCATTCTAATTAGCCGCCATCTTGAAATTCAAAATGGCCGCCATAATATGGTATTTCAGATTTGTAACACATATTGGATATTGGAGCGCTTAAAATGCGAAATCAATCATTTTGGAAGGCATGTGATTCTAGAATCAATCACGGCAGTCAACTCCTGCTTTATATTGCGATATGTTGAATTGAATAATGACATATAATGCATGGCATAACCTGAGACTGATAAATCATGCGATTGTGATTTCAAAGACCAAATGTCTACCAAATGTACCTCCTTACAACTGTGTCTAAAATGACAACTAATCTTATGGATGTGAGTTTAGTTGCGACGTTGAAACAACAATTTCTTATAATCTATAATTTTATATTCACCTAGTCAACATCGGGGCTATTCACATCATAGTCCTGTGTATTTTCACAGTCACAACACTTGCATAGGGCTGTGCAAGGCAGATGGTTCTTCTTGCAAGAGCAATGGCTTTTGCATTCCTTCCGACATGAGCATTTGACCAATTCCATGACTGCCTTCGGCGCAGGAAGCTCTAAACACTTGGTTGCACTGAATGTTCCTTCTGGGGAAAGCTCCCATCCATTTCCATCTAGAGGGGGCAGCTTTGGTTTTGGAACTTTGTATCCCTTGTTGACTCTGGCTACGAAGTTTGCCCTCTGGATGTGTGGTGTCAAGGATCCAAGGGTTGGTGGGAGCTTTTCTGCCTCAAGATTTTTTGCCCTGAATAACTCCCATCTAAGGTCACTCACTTTTGTGGCTTTGCTGTTTCTAGCATACACCTTGCAGACAAAGTCTTCCAAGACTGATAACACACTTTCCTGGTTGAAGTCTTCTTCACCTAATGTTTGGAATGCATGGACTATGTCACATTCTGGGTCAAGGCCCAAATACTGCTTGATCCATCTGCTCTTTGAGATGCCTGCAAATTTACCACCCCAATCGGCACCACTGAATGCATGTAGACCAAGCAAACCTTTGCTTTTTTCGCTACCAACTGCAGAACATCTCTCAGCAATGTCAATTGTACGTTTCACATTTCCCTTTCCAGTGATGAAGCAAAGGCGACCTAAGACATTGTGTGTAGAACAAAGATCCATCAGATATACAAAGACGTCAGTGTCTGGAGAATAAACATCAATATCTATGATGTTCTCTGCTGCTTTTGAGGTAGCATCCAGTACATGCAATGGGATGAGTGTATCCGCTTCCTCATGTGTGTGATGGGTGAGTTCTGGATCAAACATATCTGGCTTGTTGGAATATGTAGCATTTCCGTAGACGACAACAACGTTCTTGCTACTATTTGTATACTCATGCAGAACAGCCTTTCCAAGATATTCTGTCAGTTGCGACTTGGTGTAGTTGTGAGACAGAAGAGTCT